GGTGGTCTAGGAGTCAGGTAAAAAGCCTCTAAAACAAGTACAAAATGCAAGCAAATCAGCACTAATTACTCTTATACATCCTAATGGTATGACCGTGTACAGAAATGTGCCATAAGCAGCACACAACGGGCATTCAAGCATTTTCTGGCCTTTTAATGCACAATTTGTCCAAAGGCTGCTCTGATGCTTTCACTTAGTAGCTGTAAAAACAGCAGGGTGCTTGAATCACCCACATACTGTATACCCAACTATATATTCAACATAACCTGCAGACAACAGCCATAGCAGTAAACAGCCACCCAGTCATGCTTTGGAAATAAGCACTCAGACAGTCAATTAAAAGCCTGTTTACCACTGAGTGTGCCAGTCAAAAACTCAAACTGTTATTACGGTGTCGAAGCAGCAATACACACTCACAGTGTCCCAGGTTCTCAGTGGAGACAAAACAAGAGCATACTAGAGCTGTCCGGTGTCCTGTCCTGTGGAAGGGAATTCACAGGTAGCAGGTGGACAACTGGAACCAGCTGTTGTTTACTGGGTAAGGGGGAGGGATTGTGGTCAATTAAGTTCACAGAGACAGCGACATGTGTGCAATGGTACCTGCAAACACCACACTTTAATTTAAAGTCTGCTAAAATGTGCCCAACAAAAAGTGTTGGACTGATACTGCCACAACACACAGTGGTTGTAACTAAAGGTTTGATCTTTCTGTTTGTGACTGCTAGGCAGAGGAAATAAACACAAGACAGCCTACATTTAGTAGTTGTTCTGCTGTATACTGGTTTTATTGGGCAGCTTGCAGGTGTGTATAGTTCTCTTAAAGTGTGTGGGAGGGCAGTGGTAGATAAGAGTACGTGTTATTCCAGTGTACTTAAATAACACTGAAAAATGACCAGAGCAAAGGGGTTATAATCCTGCTCCTAACCATCTTCAGCTTTAGAAATGCTCCTCTTCAACTTGTTCTATTATGAAAATGAGACTTAAATGCCTGGTCATGCATATTGACCCTCTTCTACATGGCACGTATCACACCACTATTAGCTGGGTAAATACCCAAGACCAAACCTCATCACATAAAAGAGATATCTGCTGACTTAACTCTGAAACCCTGCATTGTCAAAAGAAAATTCACGCATATATTTTTTTTTAAACTGAGGTTTTTTTTTGTTGTTGTTGTTTTTTAATCCATAATTTCTGACCATTACAACATTTTACTCATTAAGTTAATTCCTGTCATCTAGGGACATCACAAGAACAGAATCCAGTATGTTTGACAAACCAGAATCAGATAGTAACGCTATCAATACTAACAATTATCAAGATAATAAATAATGACTTTAATTAATAGTAACGGTTCTCGGGGCACCTCCCTTAGAGAAGGAACCAATAGCCAATAATGGATTAATTCTGTGTGTGAGTGACCATATGTTCAGCTGAGCATGAAACACATGTAGATCCAGATAAAGAGCCACATGGAGCATGGGATGTCTGGTGATCCAGAGTTTTGTTGTCCTGGTGGCCAGGAAGTGACTCATCATAATAAAGTTAAACCACACAAAGTGAACAAATTCATATTTAAAGGTCCCAGGGGTCCCAACACACACATAGACAAAAATACATGAACAAACAAAACAAAAAAACAAAAAATAAACCATGAAGATTTAGTACGAAAAGCAAGAATTAGGTGCATTACTGCTAACTTAGTTTGAAAGCCTCACACTGGAATGAATAGAGGGGAAGCCGAAATGTTTTTTTAACCAAATTGGAATTATTCATAATGTAGGTTTACTAATATACAACATTTCTATCAGTGCACAAGTCCCAAGGATTTTCTCCCCACGTTCCCATTTTGACAGATGATTTTTTCCATTCTCAAGCGAATAAATAGGCTCATAAAAAAAGGCTCTGGAGATGACGGTGGCTATTTTTATCCCCCAACAAGATGCTTCATCCTCGGATAAATTAATGCAGAACGGCTTTTAAGATAGAATCCCTAACATGGGGGGATGGTTTTATTTAAGTTTTCCTTGGTTGCATGGCAACACTCATGGAGCCACCTATTTTACTACGCCTTGAACAGATCCTAAAGTAGCAAAAAGATCTGCAAATGGACTGAGCAATTTCAATGCATTATTGCAGAAAATATGTCTTCCTTTCACAGCTGGCATTAAATCCACCAACTGGATTAGGAGAACCGTTATGGCTCCTTCACACTGCCTACCTGAGCAGCGCCTGTGCACGGTGGAACGTCTTGCTTTTTTATTTCGGTGCCCATTTTAATAGATTAGAGTAGCCACACTGCTTCACTAGAGAGTCCACGTACCGCGTTAAAAACTCTCTGGCATTTCTGTGGATAGAATCCATTTGTATGTTAACAAGGCTTTTTATTTTATGGCATTTATCAAAGGCATATTCAGTATAGAAAGACAGGGCTGGCAGCAGCAGCCAGGCAGCTGACACGCTCTCGGTGCAAACACACAGCCACTGTCTGAGTTTCTTCCTCTGTGATAGTTGGGAAATAGTGATTTTTCACCATTTTCTGGACCAAACAACTAATACATAAATCAAGAAAATGATTGACCGTTAAATCAATAATGAAAATAATTGATTGGTACAGCCTTACTGAAGGATGGCTCCTACTTGATCATACACAGAAGGCGTGTAGCTGAATGTTATTAGCATAGGTAAGGTCTCAAGAGCCTATATAAGGGAAAGTGTGCAAATACTCTGGCACATATATCTGGATATATTATACATTATTACATTACTAACAAGATAATAATAGGTTGTGTATTCAAACAAAATAAGAGATTTGTTCGTATATTTCTTCCTGAATGAGGCCCAGTGTGACTCAGCTGCCGTTTCCGACTGACACTAGTAAGCCTGTCACAGCAGAGGAATTTCCCTTGCTGTGGATTTAAGGTGGCTCAACAGCATGATGTGACGTCATGTGCGGTTGTGGCGGTGCCTTGCCAATCCCCTACGGTATTTCATTCTTGCTGTTATCGCAACAGACACTAGGTTGCTACAGAGTAACCCCGCAGACCTGTACACACATAAGTCCAGTCAGCTATAACTCTGTGCTCTGCCCGTTATTGTGAGAGACATTGGATTACCAGAGCTCATTAATCCCGTGTGTCACAGCTTCCTTTACAACTGAAAACACAAAAACAAAACAAAAAACTCACGACTTATCAGCTGTTTTCGCTCCAACAGTCTCCTCATCACTCCCATGGCTCGATAATACATTCATGATCACTCTACACAGATCTGATATAACCTTCCTCATATTAATACATGAAACAAATGTCATATTTCCACCATGCGTGCTGTTTTGCACCATCCAGTCTTAATTTGTTGAGCTATTGTCATTGTGCTTCATTGTGATTGGCACAACTGTTACAGAGTGATATGACTGATTGAGAGTGTATTTATTAGTCACCAAACCCTCTGATCTATGTTCACCATCGCTTGTGTTTGTTGTTGTGCTATTAAAATAGGGCCCAAAGAATCACGATTGCCTGACAGCTTGGATTAAACACAGGATCACTACAAGATAAAATAACTCTGCGCTATCGTTCAAAAGTGTGGAATTGCCTGCCACAGAAACTTGATTTGGTGCAGTCTGACGGCTGAGAGGACTACTTGGTAGAAAGTTTTTACAAATAGATATTTTGTATGAAGCGTTTGCAACAAAATGTAATCTTTGTACATGGAAAACAAAAGGCTGCACAATCCATTAACCAGAGACAGTTAAATAAGAATGTAAAAAATCACTAGTCATTGGTAAATGAATTTGGAAGCTCAGCATTCAAATCTGTGCAGATATAAATAGGAAGACGTTCCTGTTCCAAGAGCACAATAATGCCTATAACAAGCTGGAAGTAACAGGTGTGTATAGCAAAGCTATTCTTAAATCTTCCAAATAAAAGGTTAGTCTAGGGTTAGCAGTATTGGGTCATGGAATATGAGCTGAACATATGGACTGACACATCATAGTTTAAACCTATTTAATAATTTAGTAAACTGCAGAGGGCCCAAAGAAAAGCAGAAATGTAATATTCACAGGTATGGTTTCATTAGTGTGTAATCACCTGAAAGTCTTTTCATTACCTTAGACTGAGCCGTTTATTAACAGAGGGAGTGGATCCTCTAGTTCTGAACGGACAAACCCAATGCTGGCTCTAGATCGGGCTTGTTGCTTCTTTTGTGAGCTTTGCAGCCATCTTAGTTGCAAGTTGGTTGCAATCTGCAACTACAGCGCTAGGTGCCACACACGTTCTTTAATTCTTCTTCTTTTGGGGTCAAAACTATTTCAGATGTAAATAATACATTTGGCTTCTGAATCCTACTGTTTCTATCTATGTTAAAGTGGCCATTATTGAAGGAAAGAAGAAAAACATCATGGTGATTCCAAACTCTTGAACGGCAGTGTACATTTCATTGTGTCTCTGTTTTGTTTTGGTTTCTGATGCAACAACAGCTTTTGTGCACAGAAGATGAAGTGCTTAATGTACCACTAAATCGGGAGTTTTGTTTGATGATGCTACTTCTGTTGAGCTGCTCATTGGAGTGTTATTTCCATCATTCCAGACCTTTCTACTTGCAGCAGTTCACCCTGTAAAATAACACTTAGAGAATGAACATGTGACCTCATATTTATATATGCAGTGCATATATTTATTGAACAATTCCAATTAGAAAACTATATTTAATCCCCACTCTGTTTTTTAGATGAATTTGCATGGGTGCTAAATGTACCAATAAATCTGATATCTGTTCCGTAACGCCATGCCAGAACAATGACTCGCTCTGAAAATGAGCCACAATGTTAAGAGGTCTGCCTCAGGCAAACTAACAAAATGGTCTTTCTTCTTCTCCTCCCTCCATCTCTGTTTTACTCTTTCCATCACCCTCCCTCTTCATTCTTTGTCTCATGCATTCTGCTTATCTTTCTCCCTGACTCTATCTGCCTGTTTCTTTCTCTCTGTCATCTGCAGGTTCCAGAAGTAGGTTCCTCTGCCTCTCCAACTGAGACTCCATGGCTGCCAGTGCTGCCGCCTGATTCATTGCACTGTGAGTTCACTCCTATTTTGTGTGTTTGTGTGTGTGTGTTGGTATGTTTTCCCGTCTGTGTTTTTCTCATGTCCTCTTCTTGTTTTTTTTTAGTCCGTTTATGCAGCATGTCCACTTGAATTAATGACATATGAAACCCAGGGTTTATCTTCTGCAGTAGCGGCCTCTCCACGACTTTGTTTGTGGTACTGTTTTGAATTGCAAAATTGCAAAAATACATTTTTGTGACTCTAAAAATGTACGCCAAGAGAGTCTGGTTACTCCCCATGGACCAGAGTCGTGCTGTGATTAGTCTCTCATGTTGTGTTCATTATTCTGCTGATTCCACTCTCCACAGTGCTCTAGCACATTGTGGCATTAGTTTGGCAATACTGACTGTCTCCAAAACAAACACTGCATGCATGAAGCCAGTGTCCCAAACTTAATGACTGACAGTGATATTGATCACAAGCGCTGCAGTTTTTAGTGCATGATTTCAAGACAACTTACTGTATGCCTATTTGATATAATATGTAACAGCAGTGTAACAGCTGGTTTAGTATTTTTGACTTCAATTGATTCTTAATTGCCTTAACATCTTGAATAGCTAGATAAGCAGATGAGATGCAGTATGGCCTAGTGGAACATTGTGCAAATGTTTGTGCCGATTCACACCTTAAAGTCTGCGAGGATGATATATTGTTTCAATTTCCCAACTGGTCTGGTTTGCTTTCACAAAGGCAGAACTCAAACAGTCCAGGAATTGTCAATAAAAGCCATGTGGTGGAAATATAGTTCAATTACTCAGGATGCAGCACACAGAGGAGTGATGGTTAAAATCTGTAATTCTACAGAGTAAGAAGTAACCGCAGAAAGCAGTCCTGATTGGCAGACAATATTAATAAACTTTAACTGCTTTTGATGCTATTATGCAGTTGGACCATTCTTGTGCACACTTGTAGTTACTGGTGGTACCAGGAAATGTGGTTTAACACTGCAGATCACAGAACACTGGGCTGAAAGACACTTAAATTCCCTGCAGTACTGAGGAGAACTGCAAAGTTCAGTGGTAATTCTCTGGGTGTTCTTGCACTTTGACCAACCCGTTTCACATTACTCGTGTCATTTGATCCGTTGTCAATATAAAAATATTGATTAGTGTGGATTTAAATGTCCGGACATTGTTTTGTTAAATGATACATGTTCATCAAAAGGTTTTTTGAACTTGTGAGGGTTTTGTTGATGACTTACCTTTGCTAACATTGCCATGCACTTATTATCTTGCTAATGATCTCTGTTTCCATATGCCTCAGTGCCAGCTGGGTAAAAAGCAGCCATCTGTGTTGTTGTGTCTCAGAAGGTTTGGGTCCTGCTCTGTTTGCATTTGCTCGGTCTCCACAGCTCCCACCACAGATGTTACTGTGTGTGTCTAATAACAATAGATACTTTATGTGCTGTAAATGACCTTTTACAAAGGAACACCAGACAGCTATCTTCTCTTTAGTTTTGTCTGCAGCATTTGCTTTTCTTGGGTGCTTTGTGTTGAGACTTTGAAGATATTTAAACACACACACAGATACTAGGGCAGAGCTGTTTGTTTGTTTGATGTTGTCTGTTATTTTTCTGCAATATAAATCAGAGGACTTAATCTGGAACAATGCATAGTGTGGGGTTGCCACGTGCTACAAGGGAAACAAAGTCCTTACTGTAGTAACAAGGAAGTTATGGTTCTTTTAGTTTTGCCATTTTTGCAAGAAAAACGTGGGGTTTTGGAAAAAAGATGTCATAAATGGATGAGCTGAATTGTTTTATCATTTTGAAACTCTTTGCAGGTAATATGAAACAACATATTTTTCATCTTTCTACCATGCCAAGAAAAATTAGTAAGTAGAAAACACTGGCTAGCAGCACAACTCCCCCTCACAAACAGGAAGTTTGTGAAGTTTTATTTTTGAAATGATTTCTTATTTAATGAGACCCATCAGGCTCGACTTTACACACATGCACCAACTCAAATGGTTTGGGGCTGGTCAGAGGAAGCGGGGAGGATGAAATGCTTGTTCAGGCAAAGGCAGAGGTTGTGATTAGAAAGCATACATCGACTCTCTCTTTCAAAGGTTTTGACCCACAGCCAGCTGCTCGCCTTCGTCCCTTGTGCATTTCAACTGGAATCCGTCAGTGGTGTAGGATGGCGTAATGCTCTCCCGCCGCCTCTGCCTTCTCCAGGATCCATTAGTTTCTGCCGCTGTTGGTTTGTTTTGCACTTGGCACTTAAGAGCAGTGTTGTGTTCAATGTAATTGGATGATATGGCATTGCTTTCCAAGCTCTTGATGCCAGCAGTCGTTTCTTGGCCCACACCTATTATCACCTTCCTCAGAACCTCTAAGAGGAATATATTGATCACATTGCACAAAAGCTATGTGTCTGTCCAATAATGGAATATTCAGGGGTTTCTTGTTGTTTTTGTCGTGATTACTATTATAACCAACAAATTACCTGGATGAGGGTCTCCTCTTGTGTGACCTTTCTTAAAAAGTCTTTTTATGAGTAAAACCTGCTTTGCCTCTTTGAATGATGCACGTCAGGCCCACGGACGAGTCAGTCCAACTTGGCGTCACTTGTGTAACTTCACTTGTGAAATTAATCTTTGATATAAAATTTAAACTCATTATGGAGTCCAATGATTTTTATTATCTCTTTACCCTCCCATATTGAGGTTTTTTTTATCTGTCTTTCACATCTTGGAATGAAACCTCTGATTTCACATAACGCAAAGAGACAGCTGTGAATGTTTTCCAAACTGGAGCCAGAATTTTGGATGAGCGTTGCCACTCTCCAGAGAGCACCGTTCGCAGGCAGAGAAACAGACAAAACCATGGTTAAATCATTAGTGAAATAAGCCTGTCCCCCATTACTGTCAGCCTAAGACCACCATGGGAAATGGAAGAGAATTTCTACACTCAGAACAACACAGTTTCTTTTTAGTGGTGGTAATTGGGAACTGTTATCAAATCTGTTCCCCCCTTCTCATTTCTCCTCAAGTCGAGCACTGTAGCAGAAACAGGCGATTTGTTCTTTGAGGAAAGTGGGACGAGTTTCTTCAGCAGCTTTGTCTCGGGGCTGTCTGTTTTCTGTAGCTTCCTATATATTTTGCCTATATACTTGGTTTGTCATGCCTGTACTCCACAAAGACTAATTAAGGATGCCTGGAAGTCTAGTTTTGAATGTAAAACAGTGCAGCATCAAGTTTAATAGTTCTTTTTGTCCATATTACATCTGTACATGAATGCAAGCTTTTTATATCTTCTTACTGTGTATATATTGTAAAGTAATGGACATGATATGTCTGTACTATACTGTTATTTGTTTTGGGGCCATACAGATAAACATTGTTTTATAGGGAGTAGCAGTGCAACAAATGTGATGAATATGAGACATTTAGCTAAGATCAAGTTAAAACAACTGAACAAATAAATATATACAACAGACTGCAGATGCCTGAACCTGAAGAAGCACAAAACGACAGTCAGTGACATTAAAGAAAGCCTATTTTATTGCTCAGGCAAATTTGAACTTGAAATTGAACAATATACTAAGAGTTTAAAGCATATTGAATATATATTAGTATAAATAAATACAAAACACTTAACAAATGTATACAACAGATGACCAAACCACTAAATAACAGTTTCCGTACAGTGCTAATAATAGAACAATACATTTTGAGTTAATCTTGGTATTCTCGGTATTCTACAAACTCCAGTTTAAAACTGCAATTCCTCTCAATATTATAATATTTGTTAACCTGAGGAAAGGCTGCTGTCATCATCATCATTATCTGTGCGCCCCATTACTGGGGCCAGGGCCACCCACGCCGGCTGATGTGCTTGGCATGGGGTCACAGAAGTGGTCAAGCTCGGTGCATCCCTCTGATTCTGAGTTAAATACAGCCGCACTTTACCGTTTAGCTCGGCATTTTAACCGTGTTTAAGGTACCTAGTAGTAAATGGTAGGCTCCCTGTTGCCAGAGCCATGAGAGAGCTCAGTGGTGTAATTTTAACTAGCGATGATGCCCGTGTTGCCTGTAACGTTTCAATAGACGGGCTTTGTACCGAAACAAGCAACCGACATCTGCGTTGCGATTCTGTCCAGTAGATACCGGTCTTATAGGAACTGGTTCTGTATTGGCACCCTGTTTTGGCACCCAACTCTAGTTGAAGGAATAGAAGTGAGGAGGGGAGAAGAGCTCTCCACAGTCATCACAAACCTGCCCCTGGCTAATCACTGTCAGTTTTACACCAGAGCGTGAAGTGTGAGTGAGTGAAACTGAGAGACTGAAAGTGAATAAGCATATGTGTGTGTGTGTGTGT